GTATTGCAAACTCTTTCTGATTAGTTCCTTTAAGAAGGTCTCTTCTGTTCTTTTCTACAATTCTTCCATCTGTTCTTACAATCCTGTATGAACGTGGTCTTTCCTCTTCTTCTATAATTTTCCCTCTTTCATTTAGTTTTCCCTCTTTCTCTTTTATGTGCACATGATCTCTTACCTTCAATGGTTTTAACGGTCTTGCATTCGTATCATAATAACTTTTTTGTAAGGTTTGTCTCTTCAGTAAATGTTGTTTTTACACTTCATATCGTTTAGCTTGTACGAAATTTTGCTTTATAGGCATCAAACCATTTACTTTTCTTCCATCCATCAATTCTGCAGGTGACTTAATTTCATCTGAAATAGGAGAATTGCGATATTCCAGTAATACTAAATATGGATCCTTGTTGTCAACTACAGCTTTTTCTAACATTCGCTTGACAGTTTGAATATGTCTTTCAACTATTCCATTAGATTATGGATAATTTGGATTTGAAGTTCTGGTTTCAAAATTCCATCTTCTTGCAATTCTTTAAAATTCTTGCAACTTTATTGTGGACCATTATCCGAATATACTATTTTCGGAATACTTGTCTTGCAAAAACTGATTCAATTGCTTATCACTGCTACACTTGACAAATTTCCAATGTCCAATTTCAACATATTTGCTAAAATAATCTGTAACATTAGATTATCCTTCCTTCAAAGTAAAAGAGATTGTTCCGAATACTTCCCATGGACTATTAGGTATTTCTTTAGATATCATTGGTTCTTAGTATTAGCTTTTTTAAACTTAAAACATGTTTGACAATTCAGTAACAAATCTTAAATTTCTTTCGACATTCCTGGCCAATATAATATTCTCTTGCTTTGATCTTGCATTTTACTACTCCTAAATGACCATAATGAATTCTGCTTAACATATCTTTTCGTAAACTTCTGTTACAACAACACAGGGATTTTTAAATATTAATCCATTTGCTTCTGATAGTTCTTCTCTGAAGTTAAAATATGGTTTTGCCAGTTCTGGAACCATACATTTTTCATCTGGCCAACCAGTTTTAATTTTCTTAAAACTTGTAGTTCTTCATCTTTTTCTGTTTTCAGTTGAAAAACTTCTTTTCCTGTTTTCAGTTGAAAAACCATTTTACCTTTAGACATTGGTATACATTCTACAACCAATACAACATGAGCTTCTATGTCTCCTTCAAAGAAATCAGATCCTTTATCAGTGAATAATCTTGATAATGCATCTGCTATAAAAAGTTCTTTTCCTGCTTTATATTTTATCTCAAACTGATATGGCTGTAATCTTGTACGCATTCTTTGTAATCTTACAGGGCATTTATTAAATGGCTTTTTGAAAATTGATTCTAGTGGTTTATAGTCACTTTCCACTGTAATATATTTTCCAAATATATACTGGTGAAATTTCTCATACGCAAATACAATAGCTAAAGTTTCCTTTTCAATTTGAGCATAATTCTTCTGCATATATGTTAATGCCTTAGATTCATATTCTATTGGTAAATTATTCTGCAGTAAGACTGCTCCAAGTCCTTCTTGGGATGTATCTATGGATAAAACTATTAGCATGTTTAGATCATAATACTGTAAAATTGGTTTATTTACCAAGACATCTTTTAATCTTCTAAATGCTTTTTCGTGTGTTGCAGTCCAGTTCCAGATAACTTGTTTTTTCAACAAATCTCTTAAACATGATGTCAATTCTGATACATTAGGTATAAATCTAGAAACATATGTAACCATTCCTAGGAAAAGTTTCTAATTATTTCGACACTTTTTGGTTGTTTTTATATCTAGAATAGCCGTTAAGTGTGTATTTTGGTCTTCATCTGGTTTTTTAAACCATCTTTAGAAAATATATGTCTCATATATTTCACTTCATTCAGCCTAAATTTACATTTATTGAAAATTAAATTTAACATTCTTTTCTCTGGCTCTGCCCAACAACTTCTTTAATCTTAAATCATGTTCTTTTTTATCTTTTACCCCAAGCTAATAAGTCATCTATATATATATTTGAACTCCTTTCTAAATCACTAAAAATTTCAGAAAAACTTCTGTGGAAAACTTTTGGTGATGAACTCAGTCCATATGGCAACCTCAAAAAACAATATCTACCAAACAGAATATTAAATGTAGTAAATTCACAACTTGAATCTGACAGTTTAATTTACCAAAATGCTTTGTTTGTATCTAAAATACTAAACACCTTTGCATTTGTCATTTGAGATGAAATTTCTTCAAAGGTTGGTATGTGATAATGTTCTCTCAGTATATTTTAGTTAAGGTGCTGAGGATCTAAACACGCTCTTAAATTACCATCCTTTTTCCTTACTACAACTAATAGATTCATAAATTCTGTTGGTTGGTTAACTTTCTTTATAATAACATCATTTTCCATTCTTGCTAATTCTTTTTTTAATGGATTTAAAAAGCTAAGTGGAATTTTCCTACAGGGCTCTATTTTACCAACAGCTCCTGGATTTAATTTAATATATGTATATCCAATTAAATCCCCAGTTTCTTTAAACAAATCTTGATATCCTTTTAAAGATTCTGGTAACTTTTCATTAGAATCAGGATTTACTGTACAAACCTTTTGTACTAGGTTTAATTTTTGCAATGTAGATAAACTTAAAATAGCTGGAACAGTTTTATCACATGCTACAACTTGAAATTCTACTTCATCCTTGTCCCCTTTCAATGTTTCACATAGTAATTTGCATTCTCCAACTACATCAATTGTAGTACCATTGTAATTATTTAAAGTGACTTAAAGTGACTACTGATTTAGTTAAACATTTATCTCTTAAATTTAATTGTTTAAATTTAGGCAATGGTAACACATTACACCGAGCTCCAGTATCCAACTTAACAAATAAATATTTAGATATGTTTACTTTTAGTTTTTCAAACCATTCTGTTCTATTTTTAGAAAATGGATTTGTATCTACTGACCCTAAAATATATTCATTACCATTATTATGCAACTCATGCTCAAAATTATTCTGTACAACATTAACATTTTTATAAGTGCACATTTTAGAAAAGTGATTTTTCTTTTTACAGTACAAGCAAATCTTATTATAAGCAGGACAATTGTATAACTTATAAAAAGTTCCACATTTTTCTACGTGGTTTCAGATTATTGTACTTATTTCCTTGATAGTCTGAAGAAGATTTAGTACTCTGTTGCTTTTGTTTTACATGATAGTTTTTCTTACAAGGCTGACCTTTTTCCTCTGAAGGTGGAAATTTATTATGTTTGATCACTTCTATTTTATTTTCTTCAGTTAAACTTTTCAGCTGAAGTTCTGCTAATTAAGAAGCTTTACACATTTTAATACAATTTCTCCAATGTTAATTGATCTTCTCTTAATAATCTATCTTTGAGATTTTTGTTTAGAAGTCCACTTACTATACTATCTCTTATTAAACTATCTTTTAATTCTGCAAATCCACAGTTGCTACTTAATTTCTTTAAATCGGTTAAGAAATCATCAAACGATTCACCTACGTGTTGTGTTCCACAGAAAAATATATGTCTATCAACACTTTCGTTTGCTTTCAATATGCAAAAATTTTTGAAAGCTTCAATTACTTTGTCAACATCCTTCTTATCTTCTTCACTTCAATTAAAAGTATTAAACTTTTCAAGTGCTTCTTCACCAATAATATGCAATAAAATAGCTACTTTAATTTCAGGTGATTTAATAACACCACCAGACGCCAACATATAAATTTGGAATTGTTTCCATTTTTTCCAATTTTCGCTTAAATTACCTTCGAAATTTAGATTACTTGGTGGCTTTAATCCATCCATGTTTAATTAATTTAGAACTGTAAATAGTTTATATATTCGTATTTTTAGTCACTTCAACTAAAAATAAACAACACACTTACCAGCATGGAAGTTTCGATTTCATTGTAAACAACTTCCCATCATGTTTTTGTTTAGAAAATCTTTGGGGTTATTCATAAGTGACATTGCATGGTTCTTCAATAAAGATTTTCTTTTTTAATCTGTTGTCGACTGCGCCATGTATTGTTTTTATATGTTTGTTATGTGCTCAGTGATGATTACAAGATGTACATACATACAATCTGCTATATTATGATCTATATTATGATTACATAATCTGCTATATTGTGATTACAGTTATGATTAATGATATTAATAGATACAGTTAATAATGTTAATTGTTTCATATGTTGCTGAGCAGTTTTTGGTATTCTGTAAAATGTCTAGGTATTATACAGAATGCTGGCTTTCATATATTGCCAGTAACTTATGTGTAGAAAACATGCCATGCAGAAGTATAATTAGCAATAAATATGCCATTGTAATTGCTAAAGCTACCACTGCAGCTGATTTATTGCAGTTTCCTTGAAGATCTACTGTAGAGTCATTAAGTTATTTTCGATGCTTGAGATGTGGAAAATGAGCAATGCCCTCACCGGGAATCGAACCTGGATATCTCGCATATGCGCCGAGTGTGCTAACCATTACACCACAAAAACATGCAGAAAGGAGGGAGAAAATACCTTATAGTACTACAAATTCTAAAATTTTGTACGTTAAATTCGTTGTAATGTATGATCTTTTAGTTAATATACTACCATGCTAGAACAGTGGTTCTCGACTTGTTTTGTTGTCTCATGCACCCCTTTCACTATTGCTAGAAGTTTATAAACCCAGTCCATTTCCAAAATTTGAAAGATTCATTTATTTAGATTTGGATTATTTTTTAATGATACAGTAGGAAGTAGATGAAGTCAGGCTGATCACATTTGCCCCGTGAAAACTATGATATTTCCCTCTAGGGAAGAATAACCCCTAATTGAGAACCCCTATGCTAGAGATTGTAATGTAAGCTAAAATGATAGATAATTTGTGAACATTAATGTTTTAATACATTTTATTGTGTGTTATTCTGATTATTTGTATGATATAACAACATTATTTTTTAATTGAGTTTTGATTATTTGCAGGATTATGAATTAGTTGTGGGCAATCTCCAAGGAGATTTAGCAGTTTTTAAAGGACAGCAGTGCCATCCATGGGCTGAAAAACACAATCTGGGCATGGTACGATGGTTTTTGCATTCAAATAAATTTTAGTCTTTTTTGCATTCAATGTCTGAAGAAATTTTTTGAAGAATGTGTATGTGATTATGGCAAAGCCTCGAGGGCTATCTGCCTAAGAGGTAGGATGCCTTCGTAGAGGACTTTCTAAGGGAAACTGGCTCGTATGCACGTTACACATGGGGAAAACGACGAAAACTCCCATGCAGCCAGCCCGTTCGTGGGATTCGAACCTCGGACCAAACTACCAGTGTTCAGCGACTTTACCGCTCAGCGGCTGGTGGGCCTTTTTGAAGAATGTTTCCCAATAATTGTGACTACTGTGTTTTCCTTGGTACAAGTTGATGTACATATGAATAGTGTTACAGGTTGTATAATAACATTACAAAGCTCTCATTTATAAATGTTTTGGGAGAAATATTTTTTTCTAAAATTCTAAAATATTTTGGTTAGTTGAAACCTGGATAGTCAGGCTTTTACTTGTATGTATAATTTCTTCATATTTATTTATTTATGTATTGCTGATTTTTTATATGCTTTCATTTCCTTTGATTTTGATCACCTTTACAGGGGTAGGTCATCAATTGTGAGAATACTCTTGTTTTTTCATGTCGTGACCATTTTTCACAGATTTGCCAAGCTTGAATCAAAATTTTGAATTTACCTGCTATTCTATTTTGCTGTCACTGATAAGCTTTTGCATATTTGAGTGTTACTAACATAAATCTATAATGCTGTAAATCTATGCTGTGCTGTAGCTCAAACATCAGACTCTTAGTTTTTGGTAGGTCACTGAAGCTCCATATTTTAAATAGTTAGTTAATTTTACTGAAAAAAATACTTCCCAGCAATAAATTAAATTTATTGAATTAAACTGTACGAATTCCATTCATCCATTTTCAGTGATCAAGACAAATTTGAGGTATCATATTTTTAATGCAAATATCCATTTTGACTATTCCTGAATACATTTTGGCTATTTTTTTTGCATGAAGTCTATATGTATGAACAGAACAAAGGATTCTTTTTTCCAAAACTTTTAATTTGGTCTTCCAGTTCCTATACTTATATTTGGGAGGGTTTTATTCTCATTATGAAAAAATAAAATTATAAGAAGTTTGACCTCTTCCCCATACAGCAAAAGTTGACTGGGATATTTAATTTCAAAATGTCATTTTCAACTTGCCTTGAGGGCTCGGTTAAATAATTAGATAGAAGATTGGTTAGAATAAGTTTAAAGGAAGTGCAGCAAAAAATGGGTAGAATTTAATAAGCCATACAAGAAAGTCGGGGTGTTTACATGAGGTTTTTTAGAATAAGAATTTTGCCAAATGAATCATTCTTGGCCTAAACCATGGGTGTCTAAACTATGACTGTTTGAGGGCTGCATTGCAAAGAAAAAAAAATTATGGAGCCACACATGCAATATTTTTTAACGAATTGAAATAAAAATTAGCTGCATGTTGTTTTATTAAAATTAATTAACTTCTTTTTATTAGTAATTTTTTAAGTTTGAATTAGATATGTACAGTACAAAGTCTTTAATCCGGACGTCCATAATCCGGACCTCAAAGCTACAAACTTTCTGCGCATAATATAATACCTTTATGCATGCGTGCTTAATGTATGACAGACGGTATAGCTAGGCTAAAATGATCTATTTCAGTTAATGTTGCACATTGTGTTGTTCCTTAATCTTCTAATTGGATCCGGCTTATTATTTTTTGCAGACTGTTAGAGCAATTTTATAAAAAGTAAGCTCGAGCTTTCGATTATGTCAAAAAGAATTTCCGATTCTGGAGCTGCCAAAGGATCTACAAAGCGAAAGCATGTTTCGATGTCCATCAAACAAAAAGTGGAATTGCTGCAAAAAAATGGATAAAGGCATAAAGAAATAGACAGAGAGGTTAGTGAAAACGAAAAAATTTCGATTGACAAGTTAGTCCGTATTCTCGGCACAGCAATTACAGGTCTTGAACAGCGGAACTTTGTAACTGAACAAGAAATTATGTCTGTTTGTAGAATTAAAAAGAAAGTATTAGCACATAAAACGAAGCAACTTAAACAACTTACATTGAAAGAAATGTTTAATAAAGTAAACAAATAAATATTAAGCTTTTTTTTTTTGTAAATTTTGATACCCTTTAGATCATAATTGCTCTTTATTTCATAAATTACAGTTTCATATTTTTAATTTTATAATTTCTGCATGCAATCTTACCAGATTTAAATTGATGATCTGTAATCCAGAAAAACCCTGATTCCGAATTGCCGAAGTCCCGACGAGTCCAGATTAAAGACTTTGTACTGTATAAGTACATATTTATTATTAATTTGTAAAAGTTTCATTTAATTTAGTTTGGATTTCATAAAGATTCAAATTAATGAAGTAGATGAATTTGCTTTTGTTGAACAAGCAAATTGATATCAGGTTCAGTAGACGAGGTTGAAATTTGTAACACATTTTCAAAATGTTTGTCAGTGATCTTTGTCCTATTTTTGTTTTTTGTATGCTTCATTTTGGAAAATAATTGTTCACAAATATAGGTACTGCCGAAAGCTGAAGATATTAATAAAGCGGCATAATTTTAGCATTAGGAATTGAAATAAGGAAAAAAAATCAGTATGCCATTTCAGAAAAAGTTCGATTTTGTGTCTAAATATATATGTTAGAGCAATGCTATATATAAATCTAATATATATCCTAAGTTGCACTTTTGAGACATGATAAATGCGAGTTAAATTTTGTCAGTCAGAGAACTGTCCCATTTTAGGGAGTGGAGTGTACATTACTAAGTTTATTTACACAGATATTATATACATTAATTATTATTTTTATCCTGTTTAAAAGTACTCTGCTTATAGAGTCATTAGGTATTTCAAAGCAGGAGACATGAAAAGTCCTTACATAAGAATTAAAATCTTTCTTTCCCTACTCAGATTTTTGTTGACATAAAAGTGTAAAAAAAATTTAGAAAAGTAAAATTAGCCAGAAAAACTTAAAATTTGCAATATCCAATTAAATACCAATATATTTTATATCAAAATAGTTTTACAAATTTTTTAATAATCTGAATCATGGATTATGAAGTGATTTGTATTTTTATATTTATATTCAATATTAATTCTTATCATGGTTGAAAGTTATTAGCTGTTTTTAACTTCATAATTTTCAAGAAGGTGATAATGCTCTTGTGTTTTCAATTTCAGATTATGGTTGTGGTTATAGGAGATGTTTTGAATGAAGGCAAGGTAAGAAAAGCTCAATAGTTGTTCTGAGCATCTATTATACTTTATATTGCAATTTTTTATTTAACAGTGCAACTGTTTTTGGTACTTACATATTAGCACAACCACCTTGGTGTGATTTCATGGATTTTACAGAAGAAAAAGAATGATGACTAATAATTGCAAAAAAATATTAATTATATATGAGCATACATACATACATATGTATTATCTCATTGACTGTGAAACTACCTCCATTCAGTGGGACTTAGTGTCAGCTCTGGATAAGTTCGATGTAACGACACAATTGTAAAAATGGCACTTTCATTGATGTTACTTAATTGATTTTCAATAAGTCACATTTTGTTTTTATGAGCAAGGATATAAAATAACTATTTATATTAAAAAAATAATAATAATTAAAATTTGGGACCTACCTTCTACAGAACAGCAAGCAACAGTGGATTATTTTCAAAGTTAGGTGATCCTACCATAAAGAAAAATGTGCATTAATGTGCATGATCTGGTAAGTTGAATGTGGCTAGTAACAGAGTAGTAAAACAGTAACAGAGTGGAACAATCACCTGCTGGAAGTTTGTTCTCATAACATTCTAAACAAAACTTCCTGTAAAGTAGGAGGGCCTAACAAAATTGTAGAAATTAACAAAAGCCTTTTTATGGAGCACAAATAAAAAAAAAAAAAAAATGAAAGAAAGAGAGTAGGCTGAATACTGATTTTTTGTTAAACAAATAGGCATGAGTTCCTTCAGAATTCTATGGGAACATTTTATGCAACTTTGGTGGGATTTACATCAACTTTTATGGTTTGATGGGTAGTCAACATTCAAGGTTGATGGGACAATACATAATTACCTGAATATATTACTACAGTTATATTTTTACATTTAAACTGGATATTAAAACCCTATAAATCAATAAACTGCTTACAATCAAACTCATTGTTTCATTTGTTCTGGTGGAAGTTTCATGGCAATCAGTTTATGAGATGAAAAGCAGTAGCTTTGTTTAGTGATTTTGAGACAAAATTCTGTGTTCCTGGAGAAATTTTACAACAGTTTCTTCCATTATTTTCACGTTCAAAAGCACACATTTTAAAATTCAGTTTAAGACAAAAAATATTATGGTGAGTTTAAAACAAAACAAAGTTGAAAGTTTGGAGTACGACAAAAGGAATGTGCACAGAAATAACTATGTTGTTCATTAAAATTAAAGAACTGTTATGTTTGCATGGTTGTCAGAGTTTGCAACATTCTGAAAGTTTGGCAAATTATACTAAGGTGGTTGCAATAACACATAAGTACCCTATTTTTTATATAATGTTATTTTTATTAGTTTCCACTAAAAGTTTTCCTGAATTTCCTTTTTAGAACAGCACTGTGTGCATTAGTGGTGAGGGATTATGCCACATTTTTGGAATGAAAAGTGATTCTCCTCTGGTAAGTTTGATTTTATCCATTGATATTGAAAATTTTAGTATAGAATTAAATTTAATGGATTGTTTTGCTTGATTAATTTTTATGAAAACTCTCTCTTCCCTAAACGTAATGTAACCCTAGTTTTTCATTTGATGGTTTGTCAAATAATGAAGTGCAAATAAATCTTAAAAACTGCTTTTCTCAAGCAACATATTGTTCTATTATAATAATGCTGCTAATGTTCATAAAAATTATCAGTTGGATATATTATAATTTGTATCAATTAAATATGTTATAGTAATTCAAATTTTACTAAAATGTAAAATAAAGGTATAGATGTTAAAAAGTACATTTAACTGAACAGCTTACCAAAATTCCTTGTATTCCAGGAATCCTTCTAGCAATTTTGCATTTCTAACATTTATTAATCTATATATTGTTTCAAGTTCTAATCTGTTATTTAAGAGGTTACATGTAAAGCCATAATGTTAAAATTCCTTGCCGAATTTTTCAGTTCCTAGCAAAGAAAAATATTAATAAAGTACAGAAGAAGCCTGATTATCCGAGCTGATGCGAACTGAGGCTAACTTGGATAACACAGATTAATACAAAAATTGACAGATAATACAGATTGATACAAAACAGAAAATTTTAATGCTATAATCTTATTAACATTTAGCAGGAGAGAGCATTAATTAACATATAGCATTTATGCAGATACATAACTATATAAAACATATGTACATTCTAATTGCAAATATAAATAAAGTACTAAACGTAATATATACCAGGGATGGCCAAACTTCAAAATGATGGGAACTGCATGATTGATTTTATGAAAGTTCAAGAGCCGCAAATCCGAATTTATATTGCTTTAAAAATAATGAGTCAGGTTTTGAATATAAAGAAACTTTTGCAGTAAATTAATGAATAGGTGATTAACCCATTAGCTGCTGGTGTTGCATTGACACAACGGTCAAAATAAATGCGTATATAAATATAACTACCTAAGATATTTTATACCAGCAGATGATTTTGGGTAGGGAATATTATGAAGATTATTTCTGTAAAAAAAAATATTTGCCTTCAACAATCATTTTGTTTATAATTAATTCTCATACTTTAAGCAAAATTTTCGACCGGTTTTTTGCTGACTGAAATATTTGACGAAAGTATCGCGTCTTTATGAGTGATCTATTTTTAGTCAAGGTCACCATTTATCAGAACATTACATCAGTCAGATGTTTATATTTGTGTTGGGAAGGAAGAGAAAACAGGTGTTGCGCTGACGCAATGTCAGTAGGAAACGGGTAGTCAATCTCCTTTTTTACTCATTCCTTTCGATGTTCTGGTTGTTTAAAAATGCCTAGAACAAGGTATCTTACATTAGAAGAAGCCCTACAAAGATTTTTTGATGAAGAAACAGATGATGATAATGTTAATAATGAACAGAATGAAACTTATTTTGTTGTTTCCCCAGAAATTGCAGAAGCTAGTGACGAAAAAGAAAGGAATGGCAATGTTTTGAATAATGATAATGATATTTAACCAAATGATATTGCTGGGGAAGTTGAAATTCACGTGAGAAGTAAGTATAAGCCTTCTAAAAGCAGTTATACTAAAAAGTTTAAAAAGCAAAATACTGAAATCTTGAAGTGGATAAAAAAGGAATTAGTTATGTCTCAGGAAGAAAATGAAGAGAGATAGAAGGGAAATTATAAAAGACAGGATACAAGGTAAAACTAGTGCACAGATTTTCGATTTTCTTTTTGGTTTAGACATTTACTCTCTTCTCGTTGAACAAACAAATATATATGCTGAGCAAAAAAAAAAAAAAAAAGGCCCAGAATTTATTGCATCTGAAGCCTATATGAGAAGATTTATTGGAATATTATTGCTTACAGGATATCATTCTTTATCTCAAGAAAAAATGTATTGGTCTTTTGATAAGGACATTTCTGTTCCTGTTGTACGAGAATCGATATCACGTTTGCAGTACAGGAATATTAAGCGTAATTTGCATTTGACAATACTGATAAATTATATGAGGTGAGACCGTATTTAGTAAATATCACCACTTTTTACTACTGGAAATATAAAGTCTCTGTTAGATTTCAGACACGAAAATGCATTATTCCTTTTGAAAACTCCTATTGAGAGTGTAAAATTAGCCAGAAATAGATCAGCATTAGGAAGACCTGGTAAATTCAGCATTCACAAACCATTGCATGGAGATGGTAGACATTTTATTGTAAAGTCCGTTGATAACAAAAGACTTTGTTGTAAAGAGTACCATAGCCAGACTGTTTATAGATGCAAAGTATGTAATGCAGCTTTACATCATGGTTGTAATCAAGCTTTTCATGCTTGAATCTTTCTTCTTTATTTGTAAAAGAAATACAATGTATATTTTAATATTAAATTAATTACACGTAAAGTGATTTGTAGATTTATAAAACGTTATACAGCTAAAAAGTAATCCTGCGTTCCACTCAAAAGAAGCATCGCACGAGTACAATCCCACTCACTCAACATCTGTAGTTTTATTCTGCTGATGTTGCGCAAATGCAACACTCGCTTTTTCCACAGGTAAGAGCATTTTTTTAATTTTCAATGTAAATTTATGTTATAAATCCTTAATTTAATATTTGTTATTATTTTCATGAGAAAAGAAACATTCTTTATAGTTTTGGCGGTTAATGGGTTAACATGAGTACATATAAATATGAATAAGTACAGCTTATATCTACTGTTTTGTGTTCATCATCTCAAGTCCCAAGAAAATAAAAATTTGTAACTGTTGTGTACTAGGCAACTAAGCATTTTTTCTTCAGGTAGAGAAACCAGATATTTTCTTCTGATTTCCTTTATACCTGTCTGTTTATAATTATTGTTGTTTTATTTTAGTAGAAGTAAAATGAATTGGAAACATATTCATTGGTGCACAATTACATTAAAAAAATTTGTTGAGTAAATTACTAATCATTATTTAAAAGAAAATTGAGTGTTTTTTAACTCATGAGCAGTCCTTTTAGAAAGGATGAATAAAATGATACACATCAGTGTGCACTCCAGAGAAACTGTTATTCAAGAAAGAATTTTTATTTAAAAATAAGCTATTAACTTATTTGGGCTTTTGCTTTAAAAGTAAATTTATTTCTCCATATGATTAATATAAGGACCAACAAATTGAGAATCTTTAGATCCTAACCTAAGAAACAGTCAAACATTTTTATCCAAAACTATTACTTTTACTGATGCCCAGTTTAGAAGAATTCACCAAAAATATATATATGATTGCAATTTCAGTGGTGTTTGAATAATCAGTATCTCTCATGATGGCCTTGACTGTTACAGTATTTCAATGTAACATCCAACAGAATCTGCTAGAATTTTTTAGTAATCAGTACGCTGTGCATCATTGAACATTATCAAAACTGTCTCTCAAATCATACCAATAATTTCAATCATAGATAACGAAGTTTATGCACTTCATTGAAAATTCTCGAAAGCACCTCTTGAATCGTTAGGACAATTCTGGCTTATATAACCTATTGTTAATAAATATAGTAGTTCATGCCGGGCTACATGAACGTTATGTCGAGCACATATTCCATCTGCCTAGCAGGCGAACTCTTCAACCTAGTCGTTTAATTTTGAGCTGTTTTTCAAATGCACGGGAAATCAAAACTAATGTTTACTGTTACGAACTGCCCAACCGTGGTAAGACAGCTTCCCTGCAAGACAGGGTTCCCAGAAAATGGCAAGGGAAGCCAGGGTTTCCATATTTGGCACAAAATCGCCCATTTGGTGACAAAATCGACGATATGCCATAGACAGATGGAGAACATTTTAGAACAAATTCTTACTGGTTTGGCCCAGAATGTTCTCAACAGGAGACCAAAAGCTATATAAATGCTGTTTGTATGCGGAGTAGCAATATATCGTCAATATATTTCAAAGCACATGTATACTGAAGTACTATAGTGGTCAAATTAATTGGGACAAAGTGATTTTTTTCATAGGATTTTAAGTTGGTGGTTAGATGGCATCATCAGATCTCTTAAGGTCCATCTACACGTAGCGATTTCCTCGGCCGACTTAGCTGGCTGACAATATCTGAGATAGCTCGCCTGTTCACACGGAAGGATTTGCTCGTTAGTACAGGAACTCGCTTAACCAATCACTGTGAAAGGGAGTGTTCCCGCTTCTATAGCGTCACACTGTCTACAGTTTGTAAACAAAGCTTACGGTGTTGTCAAATAGTCAAAATAATGAATAACTATTTTACTTTAAATGGCTACTGTAGATACAGCTGCAATTTTGAACATAGCTATTGCTACAGAAAGAAAAAAAAAAAAAAAAGGAAATGCGTTTGGACCAGAAATTGGGTCAAACGACGAGAAGTTCATGGTGCCTTTGTAATGCCCTGCTCCAGGAGTTGCGTATTTAAAAAAAAAATATGCTTTTCCTCTGTGTACTGAGTACACAGATTATACTTTATTTTATTTTATTTAGTTATTTATTTTTAAATTTCATTTTCTGGCACTCTTATTTGTGCACTTAAATCTTGAAATAATAAAATAACCATGTTTCAGAAAAAATAAGTAACTACTGTGCTTTAAATCAAAACATTTGTTAATGAATAAATAGACAATATGTCATGAAAATCAAACCAGCATGAGTAAAAAGTAGTAAAAAGGAATAAAGATTACTACATTATAAAGCAACAGTGTAATTTCAGTGCAAAAAGTTCAAATAAGAAATATCATAAAAGTGAAAAGTAGTATATTTATTAAATATTAAAAAACTAAAACCAGCATAATTAAATAACTAATATAGTCTGAAAACTATGATCATATGACTCTATCAGTTAATCAGCTAATAAAATTTAGCAATATTGTATTAAATTGGGCTATAATTTATTTTCACAAAACTCAATTAACACAAAACTGAGTTTGTGACTTGTGACTTCTTTTGAGCTGGTACGCAACTACTGAAGTTTTCTCCAGTAGATCTAT